GGAAAGTGCAGCGGTACTGACAGCCAGTGTATCAGAGCTGTGTGGTATTGGTAAATGATCATCCCAAAGAAATCACGACATGAGACTTGGGATTGATTGAATGAATAACCAATAAAATCTGGCTTGATCACTTTCTTCAGTTAGAAAAAGTAACAAAGATTCTGTATGCCATTGAAAACGCCAAACAAAATATACCAATCACTTGTTTCAACAGAACTAGTGAAAAAAATGGTTTCTACTCACTAATCCACGGAGTGCATTTCCCTATCCGTATAGACGGGAAAATATGCCAATGGGTTGCTGCATAAACAAGGTTGTAGATAAAGAGATCAAAAATAAGCTCAAGTTCAACCTATCAAATTGTAGTTCCTATTGGGCGACGCAACGCATGACTATCATCACTATCATCACTGGGATGTATGGTATAAATCGGTGGAAGGCGACAGCAACAGAAGGAGCATTTCATTGCATGCGGTGGAAAAAGTTGAGAAGCTCGCAATTCCTCATTACTGAATGTGAGAATAGGCATTAGTTAAATGCTTAAATAACATCGGAAATTTAGTAACAATGGAAAGCAAGGAAAATAGCAATCTTCAATTTCTATAAGACGTGACAAAAGTTTTAGTTAACCGAAAAACTCATATCAGTAACAAGGAGAAGTTGTAATAGATGAAAGCACCATCAAAAGCACAAAAGCAAGGTAATCTAAGACCAAAGCCACAAACATGTTCATTTGCATAACTGGTAACAGACAAATGCAAAGACGATAAGTCTACAGTAATAACACTTCGATTGTAAATGCTAAGGGCAGAAGTGGCTGGTCTTGCAGTGTGGTAAGAGGCGATGCCAAGAGTAGATATAGATGCAAAGTCCGGAATCGAATTGAACTAGTAGTCACTTATTCTGTTGTGGTCAGGATACTATAGACACGTACATGCAACCCCGCCAAAGGATAAATCTTTTCCTTGCGGGTGAATTAATGGCCAAAAATGGCAGGAATTATGTAGAGTACTTCGAACACTTGGTATGATCACAAAGGGTAAAGCAGGGAACGCTGGAACTGATTAGTAGGAAAAGCAGGATTTACTATGAGCTCTTCGTGTTCACACAGGCGCAAAACAGACACCTTTGTCCTTGGTTGAAGCAAAACAAACACAACCAATACGAACTAAAATAAGATTTTCATGGAAAAACACCAGTTTAGGGTTACGATCAAAAGTTTCAAAAGGAAAACAGCTGACTCACCTCGGAACGAACTAGCAAAGTTCCTAAGCATAGACGTCATGGGTTCAAAGGACATAGCATGGCCGAAAGTCGCCAATCTGTCGGCTCCCTCGATTCCAGCAGAGTCAGATGCAACAGTAGAGTCAAGTCGGAGACCCAAACGTTCAACAGTGCGCTGTACGAGGAGATCACAGAACCCAAACAAATCCAGCATGATGGTATTCAAAGAGTTCAGTATGATGGTCCCGAGGACACCATGCGATCCGTTGTCGCGCCACAGAGGGAGTTGACGCGACAAGCTGTCCTAAAACACACAACAACCTCAAGTAGTCGGCAAAATCATCACCCATTCGGCCTTCTTGTGAAATTCAGCAACTCCAGCAGGGAACCAGGCAGGGTTTCAATGGAGAGATGGGACCTTTCGGTACTTAATTAATTGGATTTGAAGCGCCCAACGTAGATAGTTTATCACTGAGTTTGACGACAGCAGTTCTCGAAACCCGTGAGCATCGCCTTATGGGTGGCAGTCGAGAATTTCACAGCTACGAATCATTTCAACGTATTTAGCAGGACAAACAGGAAAATTTAAGTGATTCTTTTCGTTCCCCACAACATATACACAGAATCACGCTCACGCTAGATACGATTACGGTATACCAAGTACTTTCAGATCCACATGCATAGTAATTCCAACATACAGCAATGATGGGTTTACCGATTATAGGGTTGATCAAATTACCCTCAATGGTTTGGGTACTACTATGAATTGTACGAAAAATGATAATAAGTCTAAAGGACGTCGAGAACGTCTACCTTGTGCTAATAAGCACCACAATCTATGCCACCAA